CGCGCACGAGGGGAAGAGCGCGAAAAAAATAACGCCTGTACGCATACCATTGTTCAAGCTGTTCCGACGTTCAAATATGAACTCGGCTACCCAATTGGTTATTTTTTTCGCGCTCTTCCCCTCGGGCTCGCCTCGCTTTCGTCTCTGTTCGCCTAAAATACGCAAAAAAATTACGCCTGTTCTGCAGGCTGCCTCTATACGTGCTGCTATACGTTCTGCCTCTATACGTATTTCTATACGTGCTGTGCCCATGCAATAGTAATCCCGAGTTCATAATTTAATTGCTAATTATAAACTGACATTTATTATCCAGACAGTACATGGAGAACAAAGAATGGTGGGACACTAACATGGAAGAGGAGTGGAAGCGTGATGCCCGTCAGCAAGTCATGGCAGCCTTTTCCAGAGCTGAAAAAGCTCTCAAACCACCTGTCAAAGAAATGTTTCAAGATGTATATGACACTGTGCCTTCCCGCCTGAAAAAACAGCACCAGGAGTGTATGGGTCATGTGGCAAAATATCCCCATGAGTACCCCACTGAACTTTATGCCAAAGACGATTAATCTTGAGGCAAACTCGATCCCAGACTCTCTCTCTCCTTTGCCTTCCCTTGTCTTTAGGGACGCAACGGAGAGAGAGCGTGAGATTAAGGTTGATCTCCAGGTTCGAAGCTCAAATCGAATAATGTAAGGACAATGCTGTTTGTGTACGTTCAAAGAACGATTAACTCGTTTTAGGAAAATCTAAAGCACAGACATGTTCAAATGTTTACAGTACAAGCTAACTTTTTGAACGTCACTAATAACTTCAGTTAAAAACTGTTGTTTAAGAAAACGAGTCTACCCTCTTGGGCAGTGAAATCAAGGCTGGGTCAAGAACAGGCCTATGTCTACAGAATCTAAAGGCCTTTTGCTTCTGTAAGAATTCTGTAAACGGCCATGATCTTTGGAGAGATTGCATTTCTGTGATATTTATTTCAGTAAGATCATCAAGGGCTTCTTTACAGCAGGATGTTTCAATCATAGGCCAGGTGTAGTGAGTAAACGAAATTAAGTATTTAAAGTATTTCTGCAAAGTAGACCAATATTTTTTAAGCCGTTCTATTTTAAACTTTAGCGTGGGAAAATCTTTTTGGACGAATCGCTGTGCATCTTTGGTTGGTAACATAGCTTGTTAGTCATGGACAAACGAGACGTCACAGAGCTAAATGTTATATGTAAGCATGATTATCACATGCTACTTCTGTCTTCTGGCTTGTAAAATCCTAAGATGTATTTAATGTACCTACAGTCAGTATTTTTTAATTGTAAGTCGGAAAAAAAAAGAAAAATTTTAAAAAGATAGTTTTTCTACTATTATTTTGAGTCTGACAGGTCTTTGATTTTCACACAATTCAATCCTCAATCCGTACGTATAATGTTTTCAAAGAATGCATTAAACTTCTGGAATGTAACCTTTGTAAACTTATTTTCGATATTAGTGAAATCAACGTGGCATTAAAACAAAACAAACTTGACAAACTAAATTTAACACTGTTCTTTAATGATTTACCAGAAAAAAAGAGAATATTGGCTGGATCTGGATGCTGAACATTTACTTGTTTGCTCAAGTGAGACACCCAACTCCACCACCCCTTCACCCCCACCACCCTCTACTCCGTCGATTTTTTTTTACTCGCGCCCCAAATCACTTTAGTGCGAACAGAACGCGAAAACGTCTCTGCACGTAAAGAAGCGCACAACAGATGACTCAAGAAAGGTTGAAGAATAAGAGAGTTCATCCCTCATATAGACATTATTCCCAAGGTAATCTCTCTAAAGTTATTTTTAGACATCGTACTTAGCTCTTCCGCAGAAAATGTTGCCATGCGTGAAAGTTCGGCGGAACCAAGTGACAGCCAGAAATACGTCTGTGTTCGCGGGCTACCACGCGCGTTGTGTGGGTGTTTCGTGGTGTTCGCCTGGCAAACTCGGCGTCGCAGGATTGCTTATTTCCTGAGAGGTGCGCGTGATGATCTCATCCAAGGAATAATTGGCTACCATGCATGTAAATAACTTTAGAGGAATTACCTCCTCTCTTAGGAAAATATAGCGAAAAATTAGACACTTTCGGCTTTTACCATCACCTTGGCTAGTGTAAAGTGGGCACAAGTGTCAATTTATTTTCCTCTTTTGGAGAACATTGTAACACATTATATTCTAATTACTGCGGTGATGCGCTATTGCTAAGATCGGTTTTTTGCGCTCAAGAAAGCCATGTGGTTGCAGGACCCTTTGACTTTAAGTTTCTTTTCCTCGTTTTAGCATTACTAATAAAGACAGAAAATGAGAGAAACAGTTTTGAATGATCATCCTTTATTTCTCCTCTTGTCACATTGTTATTTCAGTTCAATTACTTCCCCGGCATATATTTCTCCAACTAATCATTGTGTTCATTAAGTTAAGGCCGTCATTTCGTTAAAGACTCTTTGTGAACATCATGTCCTAGAAAAAGGAAAAGAGAAACTGAATATTATGTAGAATGACTGCCAGTGAGTCAGTATTTGGATGCCTTCGTAAACATATTGGAAACGCCAATCCTTGCAGGTACAGCTTCGTTGTAGCGCTCAATTAATCAATTATATTGCATCTGGGCGACAGTATGTGAATTCTAAGCCCTGTACATTACCGAATTTTCTAAGATCCTTGTCGATTGTATTTAGATTATTAGCGATTATTGCGTTCATAAACTCATACACATACATATTTTCCTATTACAGAAAGAATACTAACAGTTAAGCTTGTCTCGCGGTCTTGTTTTATTTTCGTTAAAAATTTTTTCCAATCTTATAGACCATTCCAAAATTGCGAGTTTCACATTTTAACCAATCGATAAACTGACACCACAACATGAAAGATCACGTTAAGAGTAGTCATTTGACCAAGTTTGATGCTTTTAGGGTGAACAGAGACCAAGTTATAGACTTTGAAACATGGTTCAAAATCTGTACAGTGTCCCCCAAAACCATATAGACTCTTAAAATTTTTTATGATTTCTGTGATACTCTTGAAAATGGGCAAACGTACGTGATTTTCATCTCAGTTTCTTTCAAATGGTAGGTGGGTGACGGGATTTTACAGTTGTCCCAAGACTGGTAAAAAATGTTATTTGCGCGAGGCTCGACTCACGAATCGCGACTCGCTCGCCGCGCTTTCGCCTCAGTTCGCCTATTAAAAATACGTAAAAGATAAAATTACGCCTGTTCTGCAGGGTAGCCATATCAGGCTTTAATGCCTTCAGGCTGGCTCCAAAATTGCTTTAACACCATCCAGACATGTACACCAAATACATGCGAAAACAGAAATGTCATGAGTTACCAGTCTAAACCTGGAAGAATATTCACAACAATATTTTCAGCCTAACATGGGCAGAAAAATAAGGATATTCAGCTTCGGCCTGAAAAACTATATTCTTTTCATAAAAGACAAGAGTGTACTTGATCCAGCGTTACGCTTGCATTGCACTTGTTTGGTCTGGCAGTGGATTTTCTGGTTTGATCGAAAACGCCCTGTGTTCCCCCCATGTTTGGCCTTGTTTCCTGATTTCAGCCATTTCTAGTGTCCAGGCTCCGTGGGCCAGGAGAGACAGACGTCTCTGGAGACCAGCCCCCGGCATGGCAATGGACTCGTGGAGTGTAACGCTTGTGTTTGTGTTTGTAACACTTGATTCCTTATTGCATCACTTTTTGGTGTTTTCTAAACAAGAAAACTTAAAATGTTCAAGCTCTTTCCTTCGAGCCGGTCATTCGTACTGTGATGTTGTCTTTAGTGGTGAGTAAAACTAATATTTTAAGGTAATTCCATTGAAATAGAACTCACAATCGATTTTCTTTCAAACTTCACCTGCTTCTTTCAAGAGAACTTAAATTTTGAAATAAAAATGGGGTGTCCCAGTTCTCGTTTAGGAGCAGGAGGTCCTTCAATAAACCCCATAATTCCTTAAGCTATCTGCTTTCAGAAACGTTTACGTTTGAACCATTCACTTTACGCTTTGTGAGAGCAGAAAAAAAGGGAGAAAGTTAAGTGAGAAAAACATCAATGGATGTACAGCTTCAATGTTAAGGAGCAATTTGATGTGCGTTTCTTATGATAAAGGCACTCATTTTTAACCAACAGGGATTCAATATGTTCCAAGCACGCAGTGTTCTTGAGAGCATATATTATCTTTTCCGAACACTAGCTATGCTCTCATTTTCAGTGATAGTTTAAAACTCTACAATGGAAATTGGTCTATATTCACTGTCTAGAAAGAGGGTGATCCCTGCATTCAAACGAGATAAAAAAATCGTCAGTTCCCGGTACTCATTTCCAAGAGAAAACAATGAGTTGTCTCCCGTTTAGCCATTAAGCAAAAGCTACCACTTTGTATATGTTGTGTACATGCATGCGCTCGTGAGCGTGCGCTAATGATGCAAAAATCGTGTGCAGTAGGGATGCGCAATGCTCTTCTGAGGAATAACCTTAAGTTGCTTTTTTCGACTGACGTCCTAACCTACGACCTGTGGCTTAGGCAGGACAGACGCATGAAAGAGTGACATCAATTTAACAAATTGAGGTCAGTTTTTCATGCATCTGTCCTGTTATTGATCATGAATTTTGTCATAACATTGTCGAAGTAGCTGTGAATCCACGAGGCGATAGCCAAGCAGATCCGCAGACTACTTTGACAATGATATCAAGAAATTCATTAAAAAATTGTCAAATTGTCCACTCTCCCTCGTTGATGCATCGCATAAATTATAAATTCTTGTGTCTGTCTGCATATTGACAATGAAATTTAGCCAATGAGCACAGGAAAATTTCTGCAGTTATTGTAAAATTGTTTGTTTACAATAAGAAATTGTAAAATTGTCTGCGTGCAGCTTTCGAACAAGTTCAAAAGCCGGTTAACACTAACCCCGGATTAATAGTTAACTGAAGTATTAATTTTTCTTGAATAAAAATGTTTTTCATTCCATAGGTTTTGTGCACCGGTAGTTTGAAATTGTTCAAATTTAAAACTGAAAGACAAACAATTTAAAAAGAAAACCTTTCTGAAAAGTTAGAAAACTGAAATCAAAATGCTCCCTAATCCTGGGTTAGTTTAATCAGGCTTTGAACAACCCGGCTGCAGTGAAATGAGTTAATGTAACACTTTAAAAGATGAACTATGTAACAGCCTGCAAACATCATGGCTTTGAGCTCTGAGTGAATTTCTTTTCTTTTCTTAAAATAAAGTTACAAGAATTGCATGCCCTGCAACTATTTCCAGAACTAATTGTGGCAGGGGTTAATTAATTAATTAACCTGGCTTTTTACGATAACTACAGTAATTCTTGCACACTCATTTGCTAATTTTTATAATAAGTGGACAGACACATAAAGTTATAATTTATGCAATGCATCAACGAGCGCACACAGACAATTCTACAATTTATCATTGTAAAAAACAAATTGACATCACTTTTTCATGTGTCTGTCCTGTTATTGATCATAAATTTCGTCAAAATGTTGTCAAAGTAGCTGTGGATCCACAAGGTGATGGCCAAGTGGATCCACAGACTATGTTGACAACATTTTGATGAAATTCGTGATCAATAACAGGACAGATGCATGAAAAACTGATGTCAACTTGTTAATTCTTAAACAGATATCAGTTCTGTAAATTAATTAATTACCAGAAAAGGAAGCTTCCAACCCAGAATGAATAGAACTGGGCACCCTACTTCAAGTCTGAAACATATTATTATTTTAAAATAGTTTTTCCTGAGTAGCCTTAAATTCCTGTACTCTTGAAAAAATTGTGCTCCCCAGCTTGGCAAATAGTCTGTGATTTTCACTCATTGACCTGAAACCTCACATAACCAGGGTGTTTACATAAATTATATGACAAACAGCATTAATTAGTATTGCTCTTTACTTTTTTGTCAGGACGGAGTTCAAATGAAGTATCTAAAATGGCTGTTCTCTCAACAAATCCACTAATAAAGCTCTATAAAAACTGTATTACTTCCCAACAACAAGTTAGCTTAATGAAATTAGCAAAAGAACGACTTGTCGAGGATACAAACAGTGGTTTCTCATGGTCGCTTTATTTGCGTGACAAAAGAGATGCTAATTTGGAGATTTTAAGAGAGATTGCTATGCTAGCTGGAAACCTGTCTGGGTTGCCATGGAAACTGGCAGAACCAGTTTCTCTGACCAAATATACAGCCAACCAGAACTATGATCTTCATTACGACTCTGGGTTTGTTACTCAAGGCAAGAAAATGAAACGTGCTGCCACGTTTCTGCTCTACTTAAATTCAGTTGCACAAGGTGGAGAAACTATCTTTCCCCGATCTATAAATGGCTCCCATGTTGGTCATAAACCATTACAAGTTGAAAAGCCTTTACTAAAGGAGATCTGTTGCGATGAAAAAATTTTGAAGGTTGTTCCCGAAGCAAGGTCATGCCTGGTGTTTTTTAATCATCTCGTTAATGAACAAGACCATGGAGAGTTGAACCCCAGGTCAATCCATGGCTCCTGTCCAGTAATAAATGGAGAAAAATGGATTGCTCAAGTCTGGTTACATCATGAACCATGGGGCTCTAATGTGACTGATTTTTGGTAGTGGACTGCATCAAGCATTACAAAGACACATACCTTAACCTCTACATGAAGTGACAGGTTAAAATCCCTAACTCTCTTCCTTATTTTTTTCCTTCTTCCTTCCTTCTTTCTTGCATGCATTCTTTCATTCATCATATATATGCATGCATATATGTATTAATTTATACAGGGAAATTAAAGAGGATACATAAGTTGTTACTCTGAAAACAAACGAGACTGATATGCTGCTGAAGCATACCAAAATGGTACGATTAGGTATTTACCATGTACAAATTCTACCAAGCAAGCATGATATTGTAGCGGTATCAGGTCAGTGAATTGATATTGCAGGATATTAGGACATTAGACACCGCTTCTGATTGGCTAATTGCAAATTTTGGTAAGGACATTTTATTTTACTTCTTGTATTTAGTGTCTAGAATGCAATGAAACAGCTTACTTTAATTTCAAGTGTCAAATTAAAGTTGACGGTTCTAGCGTATAACTCTTAGCAGTAAAAATATATGGTCCATTACAAAAACAATAGCCTCCATTTGGCTCGAAAATATGCTCACAGATTTGTACGCGGACCTTTGTCCACGTACATTATCTGTCTTGCCTTGATAGGTAAAGACTATCTTGACTGTAATGAGGGTTCTTAGACAGCCAAGTTCATGATCAAATAAGTAATTTAATTTCTAAATAAGTTATTATCATCATAGAAGTGTTCTTGAGGACTTAGGGCAATGATTTCACTGAAAACAAAGCTAAATCAAGAACAGCGTTTTTGGGATGTGTGGTTTGGAATTTTAACATATTTAAAAATATCCAAAATGTCGAGTGGAAATCAATGATTCGTTTTGCATTTTCCCCTCTAATGTTTACTCAACTTCGTTGAACCTTTTCAGTAAAATTCTGATAAAAATCATTTGACACGGAAAAGGGCCTATAGAGAGGTTCGTGTCAAAAACACTGCTCAGATAAGCTTAAACTAATAAGATCTCTGAGACAACCTTTTCCCTGCATTTTGACAGAGTTAACTACCCTATTTGTGAGTTATTAGTAAGACGTCTGTCAACAAGCTAGTAGCACCAATAAGCACAAATAGCACAAATAAGTAGGTTTTTTAATCATTTGATATTCACCAGATATTCCCAAACAATGCCAGATCATCCAAACTCAATGGTTTGTGAAATTTTTCCCTACTTTCAATGCACACATGTAAAATTGTTGTCCAGAAACCAAATAACAAAAAAATCGGTTATGTAATTCTTGCTCTCTGCTGTTCTCTTTCATGTTCTGATTCAGTTACACTGTCTTGAAAATAAACGTAAATATCAACTCCATGTCTCCGTCTTCGCTATCTCTCTGCGGCTCTCTGTTGCAGGAAACTCTTCCTTTCAAACTGTGATTCTCATGTTATTTCCCCGCGAGAAAAATGCGGGCTGCCCAAAAACGCTGTGACATGTGGGCGCGATTTCCTGCCAAGAAAAGATGGCAATGAAAATTGGTCGCCCATATTCAGCAACTCGCTTGTCACTCCTAGAGTATCGCTAGATAGGAAAATAGTTGTGTTATTTTTGAACAAAATGTTAAACCCAGAGTTCTCGAGCTACGTATTAGAAGAGGCCAGAGCAACTTGAGCATTGTCTTTATTTTTGTTTTCTCCAAAAAAATGGACATTATTTTACTGTTTGACATTTTTCAGTAGGACAGCCCAGTTTTGTCTGCTGCTCATACTGCATGCACAGCCACTGTATGCAAGGTCATGTCAACTCTCGAAAAAAAAATGCACACGCTTTTAAGCTGTTTATTAAAAATAAGAATCCACCAGAAGGGGGGACAGGCCTTGGGTCCCCCTACAATTTGATCACTATAAACCCTTCTCAATTATGAAATGTAACAACTGATTGTTTTCCTGCATTAAAAATTATCTTAAAATCGTGTTGTGAAGGGAAAATACTTAACATTTTTAAACACTAAGCTTATATAGCCAAATTAAAAGTTATGCTGGCTGGACGGAAAAAAAGCATCTCAAAGTAAACAAAAAATCTGTCTATTAGTATTTTAACTTAGGACCACAAAAGTCTTTGTTCAATTGGAAAATAACTCACTCAGCAGCCAACTTAGTTTTAAGTCTTAATTGAGAACGAACTCTGAACCACTTAAGATTGTTATTTCCAGGTTCCAAGTTAGCTAGCCTAGTTGTTGAAAATTGAATGTATGACAGGCTGTACAGTCCTTATATCATCAACAATGGCGGGTCCAGACCTTGAGNTGTGATTTTTTCTTTTTTTACCCAAAATAAGGGGGGGCGGAGGACCCCCCTATTTTGATATAGCCTATATAAATCTGCCACTGGTCAATGAATCTTAACCTTTCACCATAAAAATGACTTAATGCTGCATAACCCTCACATCCACTGAATCAGTCCTTTAAAACAAGCTTGCCAACAAACGGGGACTTGAAGCTACCAAAGTACAGCACATCACCGTCGTCATGCACTTCACTGATTCCAGATATAGCACTGGCCGTTGGATCATGAAAGCTCCTGGTGATTTGACCATTCTCATTCAGCTCCACTAAAAGACCATGTTTTGGAGTTACGGTATTTGCTATCCATGGCAGAGAAAACACCTAAATACAATCCAAAAAGGCAAAATTAATGTTATGCATCCATAAAGTGGGAGATTTGGGATGGCTTGCTGGGACTCTGGATCGAGTGCTCCTGGGTTCAAGTCCCTCTCCCCGGCACTAGCACTTCCAAGCCACTGTGCTCTGTTCTTGGGCAAGACACTTCATTCTCACAGTGCCCTCTCTCCAACTAGATGTCTTGATGTCTTGATAAAGGTCAGTAAAAAACAAAAATGATAAAAAAAAAATAAAGGTCAGTGTATTCACAGGGAGTAACAACTTTTAAAACATGATGTCTTGATGAGTGCTAGCGAAGTTAATTATGGGAATACTAACCCTTCAATGGAACAGCAGACCACTTGGGGAGAGGGGGGGGGGGGTGGGGTTGAAACACTCCCAATCACTTCATCTTACACTTGTATAGAGAACTGGATAAACTTTGGCAGTTTGGGACATTTTGGTCTGATGCATCCCGGTGCTTTTTTCATAAAGGTCAGTAAAAAACAAAAATGATAAAAAAAAAATAAAGGTATGTGTATTCACAGGGAGTAACAACTTTTAAAACATGACCATTCACAATGGAGTTATAACATGCCTACCTTAGCTATAAAGCTTCTAGCCCTAGGATACTGTGTGATCAGGTCACTGAAGTCTGTTCGTATCAAAGCAAATCCAACCCAATAGCCCCCTTTACTACTCAGCCGGATGTTGTCTGGCAATCCAGGCAGGTTTTGGGCAAAAACTTCCGATTTGCCCTCATGTTCTCCCTTAATGTAATACCTAGAAAAAAATTGTCACCATTATTGTTTAGCCTTTAATTTTGGCCCACTATTTCAGGGCATCCTATTGCCCATGCAACAAAAGGGCAAGACTAACTCACAGAGTACGTTAACTGTGGATCTGATTTAGATTCACTTCATACCGCCAATGAAACCTAGGTCATTCTGCAAACAGGCTCACTTTCAAGTCACACACGTTAGTCAAGAGTGAGTTGGCAAGCGAAGTAATCTGGCAGAGAGGAGTCTGGTGTACATCTCTAAAAACATGAGCGTGCTTACAGGCTAGTCAATGGATCTCAACATAGAGTTATTTCTTTACATCTTTTCAATACAATAAAATAGGGATTCCTGGTGACCTGGAGTATCTGTCTCATCAAAGATTACTAGTGACTGATACCAGCAATTGAGTTGAGAAAATTGAGTTAAGAACAGTAAAAAGAAGACATTCATACTTCATTATTCTAGCTGTAAGTGTTTCTACTACTAGCAAATGGTCTCCCTCCGGTGAAATCTGGACACCATTAGCAAAGTGAAGTCCCTCCATTAGTACTTCCATGTCACCCGTCTTGGGATGGTATGCAATTAGTCTCCCACTGTTATCTCCTTCAAAGATGGAGTGTCGGAAATGTCGCCTTTGCCACTTAGAACTTGTATCTGTGAAGTAGATGGTACCATCTCGTGCAATGTCCAGATCATTAACAAATCGAAAGGGCTTTCCATTAATTCCTGGTGTAGGAGGTACCAGCGTGCTCACTGTTCTGGCTTTGGGATTCACTTCAAGCAGACCAAAATACGCATCAGCCACTATCAAGTTGATTCCATATCTGTCAAAGCGCATCCCTAATGGACGACCACACATGGGCTCAAGCTCTTCAGTGCCTGTAACGGGAACCAGAATAAAGACTTCAATTCCTCTTTGTGCCATCATGGAGTTTTCCACACAGTATATATAAATGGTATTAGCCCCTGGCAGAGAATACAAGCATTAACCTTTGATGAAGACCGGTTGCAGTTACTATACATACCACATGGGGGTTTGCCAGTGCGAACAACATCTACCACTTTGTCTCCCTCAAGCTTCACAATTCTACCATCTGCTAAGCCAGTGTATAGAGTTCCTGTATAAATGATTTTGACATGTTCAGACCTTTTGCTTAACTTAAAAAAACATTTTTTTTTTGTAAGTAAAAGTCCAATAGCCTTAGAATAATTGCACCATGGTTATCACATTATCTATAATATTATTTTAAAATTAAACAGAATATTAATTCCAAAGTTTGGTCACCTGTACTATCTGCGGCTAGAGATTCTGGTCCAACTAGCTGTCCTGCATACAATCTTTGTGTCTGTGCTAAGATGGTATTCACTTCCAACACTCCTTCAAACTTTGGACTCTTCTTTTCAAAACCACTACGTCATTCAAAAACAAATTTAAAAAGTGAAAATATTCTCTTGCTGGGTGCCTTAAGAGAGATACCAATAAGGCAAAGACTGGTTAAGGGGGTCAGAAAACTGAAAACACAACCCCACCCCCAAGTATTTTCCTTGTTGTGAATAATTGGAAGAAACTAATTTAACCCCCAGACTGTCACTTGCACATGCATTTTTTAACATCGTCATATAAATTTGTAACATCCTGGATCTGCTCCTTTAATTCTACAATGAAAATCATTTCATTTATCTGGCAAAATATTGTGATAAAGAGGACTGTATTCATCATACCTGACAACTGGTTTAGGATCAATTGGAGATGGCAGAAAGAAGAATATAACATCTAGAGCACTTAAGAACAGCAACACCAAGGTCATCAACATTCCTACAAGACCCCTGTTTATTAAAATATAATGTGTGAAAATGTTTGTTCGTGACAAGCCTGCATTTGGCCTACTATATATATTACAACATAGTAAATTAAGATGATGTTCTTGCTCAAAAACAGAGGAGAATGGTAGCTGAAAAAGTTATGGTCCTTAAGACCTATTTCCTTTGCTTATAGATCTCCCCTTTAAGGATTTGTGCACCTTACCCTTCACATCTCATTCCCATTAGTACTCACCCTCATATTCCCCACTTTTTAACTCCTGGGGACTCCCCTCAATTTTTTCTTTTTGGGTGGGGAGTACAGCACTTTCTTGAAACCCTTTTTATCATATGGCTTGCTCCTTAAGCGGGCAAGATGAATCAAATCCTGCGCTGTGATTGGCTACCCGAGCGGGCAAGATGGAGCTATCTTGCCCGCTCNAAGATGGCTGGATATTGGCCTCGTTCTTTTTTTTGCGAGTTTACGGACTTCGACTCCGTCTCGGTCCATAAACACGCAAAAAAAGAACTTAGCCAATATCCAGCCATCTTGGCCTCACACTTGGTCAATAACGCATACAGACTGTATTTGAGACATACTTTTATGATCAGACAATAACCTATTTTAGAAGAATGCTAAGTTAACTGAGCTGAGGGGAGCCGCGCGGAAGATGGTTAAGTTGGATCGATTCAGTCTACAGATAAGTTTGATACTCGTTTAGTTCTAGATCTGCCTTCATGCACTGTAAACATCAAGAACAAACCTATCAGAGGATGACACGAAATACAGAATCCGACGCAGGAACGGTATTGGTGCCAGAATGCAAATAAACTATTTTATAAAACTGAACAGCAGCTGCGTGTTTGCAAATCCATGCGCTGCATAGAAGAAAATGTGTGTAAAAACCTTACATCTTTACAAGGATTCCTAGTTAACGAGCGTCGACCATCTCCCAGACTGCACGGATCCGGTGAAACGTGGCGAAAACAACGAATTCTAGTGTAGTGTGAAACTCTACACTCGCCCTTCCTTGATGATGGTTGCGTGACCTCTGTGACACTAGTCACTGATGTCCGGTGATCACGCAACGAAGTAACGGATATTTATAACGCAGATATGGGGTACATGCTTTCCTTTTTTATCTTCCCATAGATTCAATTAAAGGTGGAAATCATTTTATTGGTATTGACATCACGAGAAAGCCTAAGAAAACGAAAGCAATGTCAAACGAAAACACTGTTTCCTCGTCCCAGTTCCCACCTATACTGCCACGTTACGTCTATGCTGTGCGCAGGCGCGAGTGGTTCACAAACCTTCAACATCGAAAAGAAAGTACAGTAGATTGGCCAGGCCTGGTGATTTGTGGGAATAGATTACTCAACTACAGTATTTAGCAAGGTCTCTTGGGCTGAAACGAATCTAGAGTAATGGATCCACCAATGGGAGGTAAAGTTTGCTCGTTTTTCTCCTCTGGTGTAAGAAGTATTGTATCCTTGAGATGAACCTTAACTCGTGTCAAACTTTAAATTTTGCACCATCAATTTCTTGTGATCCTTGTTGCTACAATAGTGTACTTGTCCTGTTTTTTTTTGTCGCGGTTTATTTTCAGGTTTTAATAATTTTAATAATTTACTCCATAGGAAACATACATTTATGTCCCAAGAAGCATAAATTTTTCACAAAAAATCGAAATTATGTTTTGCTAAACCCCAAAGTAAACTTATTTTTTCTTATTTTTTCCGCGAAACACTTGTTCAAACAGTAGGGATAGCCTCATCAGATAGTGGAGTTTATTTCCAATCCGTTTTCTTAACAAATAGCAGACGACAGAGCTTGATTGATACGTGTTCTTTGTGATAAAGAGTCATTCAATGTGATTCAGAAAGGTCAGGCTTGTGCAAGTCAGCGTTTACTTGTATTCATTATTTGTTGTTTCAAAATTCAGTCCTGTCAGCTGACACTTTCTACTGTGATTTTGTTTTGGAAATTTTTGGGAAAACATAAGCTCTTCATAAATTTTAATTATAAAGATTGTAGTGCGGAGGGTTGGGCATTTTTGTGACTGGTCTGCTTCCAATTACCTTCATAGAGCCAGTTCATGTAAGGAAGAAGAGTAAGAACAATAAGTTGTAGTTATTATAGGGCTAACTCCATGAGCAGGTAAGATGAACTAAATCCGGCGATGTGATCAGTTACCTGACTGGGCAAGATGATGCTATCTCGCCTGCTTGCAAGTGCGCCCTTGTTCCACAAGAAAAATTTCTCCGTGGCCAAAGCAGAAGTCAGTCAATAATCAATCCTAAGTTTGTTCGGCCAAGATGGCTGGATATTGGCCTTGTTCTTTTTTCGCTTGTTTATTGACCCCACCTCAGTCTTGGTCCATATCCAGCCATCTTGACCTCACTCTCGGTCAATAACCCATTGGATGTTCACCTGAAAAAAGCCCTGCATTGCGTAGTTTCTCCTTAATTTACAGCGTCTCTCACTTGATCTCCATGATATTATGAATGTATGGAAGGCACGTTACTAACCCTGTGGCTATTGATCATGGCTAAGGGATGTCTTGTGGAATTAGATACATGTATGACAATTTTACTGTGCACTAAGTTGTGTTTTTTGTTACTCAGCTTTCATTGCACTTGTGTCTCTTTGTCATCAAACTTCCAACACTTTTAGATTAATCCTCTAGCTCTATAACACTGATTTCAGTGAACTTCACATGTAGTTAACATACTAGGAATACTTTTAGAATACTCTACAATGCATCAGTTGTTGATTCTGATTTTAAAATCAAATTTAAGTCATTTTTGTCATAGTATAGTGGGAAGAAAAATTCCAGTGTTGTGTTTGTTTGTATCGTAGACATTCACAGTAGAAAAGTTTTATGTCATCGTCATGTCTGTCTTTATGTCATGATAGTTCCTAGCTCTCCTCTGGGAGAATAGGGCCATGACAAGTTAATGCACAATTATTTACTGTAACACATTCATTGTGTTCAGTTATTATACTCGAAATGTTATTTTTTACATTTGAGTGAAACTTTCACCTGAGCATAATTTGTGACTGTATTAATTTTGCTTATAAATACACCAACTATGATCTACCACAGAGAAGGTTTTCTGCCAAAAACATTTATTATTTTTATTGAAAACATCATATGAACAAATTTGAGAATCAAGTCGGGTAAGAATTGCCTTTGGTGGATCTTATCAGTAAAGTTTTTTGCATACATAATTTTTTTTTGAACAGAAATATCCTGATTTAGTTTTTAACGTATTTAAAATCATTTTATTCACAGTTTCATCTTTCCTTTGTCTTTAGACCCTAACTTCTACCCAATGCAAACTACTCCTCGCAGGCGTTCACCACTCGATGGTATCTGTGATGTATATTCTTTCTCTACTAATCTTTCTTGCATGTTGTGTGCTCTCGATGTACATGTATCGTTGGTGAATTTGTTTTGCATAAAAATGTTGCAAGACTATTAACTCTAAACTTTTATTACTTATCAAAGTCTGTTCTAAAAGGAAAAAAACTAAGAGCTTTTTCTTTCCCTCTGATTCAAGTTCTTTGACTAAAGAGTACATTATAACTAAACAACATCATTTTAAAACATATTTGTACTATAACACCATGGTATTTAATAACTCTTACACAAAATGACAAAAATGTGTTGCAAGGTATGCTCAATGTTATTGATAAAAATACTTTGTTAAAACTTGCAGGGTTAAACTCCAGCCTTCCACATAAGTACATCGTATGCAATGTGATTGTTTACTACAATTAAAATGTACCAATAAGGTGCAAAAGTAATTATAATGGAGAGCAAAACAAAATAAAATGTCTTGAGAATGATGACATACATAACACTAATTAACCACATTTTCTTAAATCCAGTCATTGCACATTGTATGAATTAAAACTATTTCCATGTATAACACTGGAAGTTTTTTGAACAGTGAAAACATTCAAAAGTACACTTACAGTTTAGCATTTTAGACAGTGATCTGAAATTATGCAACTCAGAGACACATTTACTTCACGTTATGCTTAAACCTCACATCTATGATTGTTAACTGAAAACCAGTCTTTGGTATTAAAGCTATCTCATTAAGCTGCGTGCTCAGTTAAATTATTCTGATACACAGCTCTTATGAATTGTTCATTGTACATTATCTCTAGGTCAAAAGTATGGTACTGCTAGAAGACGCGCAAAATGCGTAGATTAAGTCATACATGTTTTATTTTTAGTTAATTAAAAAGTGTTTAGTGGTAACCAAGTATATTTTGGGCTTTTGTTAATTCTGTCTATGACAGACATGTTTTCACAGCAATTTTCTGTTGCTATTACCCAGTATTAACAAATATAATGTGACGTTTTCCCCTTTTGGCACCCAGATAACAGTGATATGTATAATCAAAGAAGGCCTGTTCAGAAGAGGAATGTTCAAGCAGGTAGACATTGTTTTATATTGTTCCAACATGCATGCACTGGTGAAAAATAAGTAATAGAAAAATGCTCAATTTGTGTGTGTACACATGGTCAAACATGGTCAAAGTGTCCAAAGTGTTTCTCAAAACATCAGTAGGGGGGGGGGGNGGGGAGGCTGAAATGTGAAACCATGACTGTGATGCACATGTATGCATGAAACATCATGCAATGGAACACTCAGGTAATCTAATTATTGGAGTGCACATTTTATATTTGAACCATCCTGTTTGTGGACTTTTCAGTCAGAAGTTGCTGTTTTTGGCTATCTTTACTCCATTTTGCTCTCTTAGTATTTTGTAACCCTAGTTTTTTGGCATTGAGATTTCATTCAATTTTATGGCCACTAGAAAGAACCATGGTCAAAATTTTTTGTTAATTTATTTATATAATTATTTTAATTGTAGCTCACCACCGAGGGAACCCATATGGAAGTCAAGGTGGTCCCACCCCCCTGTTTGAGGATACCAGCACAGACCAACAACAGGGAATGCCAGGAATGCCAGGGGGGTTTGGACAGTTTGCTGGAAATGAATTTTTACAGGGTCCAATGGCCAATGTGGCTGTTGGCTATGGAGCAGCAGTGGCTAGCCAAGGAAAAGAATATGTCGAGAAACATGTATGTTGACATTGTCCAAATTCACTGCTTAATGGGGTCTTGTGATTTGTGTAGTACTGTTCTTTAAAAATTTGTCCATTTTTAATAAAATTGAATAAAGTATTCCTGGTGAAATGATTAAAAATATGAGCTTTAAACAGCCATTGTATTGTCTTTGAATGGATAAAAATTTATGACAAAATGAAACATAATATCAATATTTGTTGGATTTTCATGTTTTTTCATGTTTCAACCTACTCAAGATTCTTTATGCTGAAAACAGATAACAATGGCCATTTTGTGACAATTTGATAAGTTTAGAACAGTTGAAGGTGTTGCAATTTTAACTCCTTCAGCATTTGATATATAACTTATCCCACTTGTCACAAAATTTGATATTACATGTAGGTACTGTGAAATTTCATAACCAGCCCTGTGTTGATAATATTATTATCTGTTAAAAATTTCACGTGCTACTCAAGAATATTCAGGTCTACATTTGGAAAGTGGTGCTGGCTATAAACAAATTAGGGTAACATATTGAAAAAGCAGACTTCAATGTCGTCATTTGATTACAACTACCAGAATGCATTTCCTCTTTCCTTCATTATTAGAATTTTGAAGCTGCAGTGGGGTTAAAAAAACAATAATTGCCCTGATTATTATTGCCCTAATTAACATGAAGTGAAGGATTCTGGTGGTTATAGAGATGTGCAGTGCCTTAATTAATTAATGAGTCATAATTGATATATTTGTGTTTTTTTTTTCAGATTGACCGTTTTGTTTCAGTATCAAAATTAAAGTATTACTTTGCTGTAGATACCTCTTACGTTGTCAAAAAGCTGGGACTGCTTGTCTTTCCCTTCACACACAAAGTATGTAGATTTTTCAAACTATGTTAATTTTATAACTTGTGTGTACCAAATGTTATAAGAAGCCAACAATTTTGCTGTACAACTGTGCTATTGTTTGGATATCTGACCTTGATTAGACAATGTCTTACCACATTTCCACGCACACATTGAAGTTCATCACAAATACTCTGTTGTATGCTGTACTTTCAACTCTCTTCTCGGTGTTTAGAAATGTAGTTAAACACGGTCTCTCTTGTTTGATACAAGATTATTTCTTCAATTTGAAAGTAGTTTGTTATATAGGAAAAATGACTTTTATTAATTAAACCCCATTTCAGAGCTCCTTTATGATTAATGCATGCATGTATTGATCAGTGCAATGTTACTGTTACTTTTCCTAGAACTGGTCAGTTCAGTATAACAAGACAGAACCTGTGGCTCCGAGATATGAAATAAATGCTCCTGATTTGTATATACCAGGTATGATATCATAGCAATTCCAATCTGTTTCACATATTTTTTTAAAGACAAAGAGTAGTAGCATCCGAAAAAAAATATGGAAATGTGAAACCCTCTGTTCATACTCACCCACTCTAAGTCACTGGAGGTAAGTGTTGGGAGGGTTGGGTGATAATCTAGGTGGCAGCCGTGAAGGAGACCTAACAGTAAACACACCTAATGAATTAAAATGGTGCTTTTGATTTTTTTTACCGCATGTAAAATGTTTAAGTATTTACTACATACACTTAATGTGCTTGTAGTTTTGCAGAGCAGGTAAGTGGGTCTGTAGAATACTGTGTATTTAGGCTCAGTGTGTAACAAAGCTTGTTTTGTCTTTGTCTTGGCAGTGATGGCTTTTGTTACATATATTCTTGTTGCTGGACTAGTCATGGGAACACAAAACAGGTAACAAGTCCAGCCTACATTGAGTACAAGCTGACACATTGTACATGTACATATGCAGCTCTTGCTTAAGTGGGTATTTCAGATATTCTTTGAAATTTGCCTGTTTGTTTTAACTTCAGAATAGACTTCTTGTCTGTTGTTATTGTACAAAATATGTATAATTTAACTTTGTTCATTTTTGTTTTGCCAGATTTACTCCAGAACAGCTGGGCATCACAGCCAGTTCAGCCCTGGTGTGGCTCTTTGTTGAGATTATGGCCATTCTCTTTTCTTTGTACCTCTGTAATGTTCAAGCAGAGATCAAGTCACTTGATCTCTTAGCATTTTGTGGCTACAAATACTTTGGGTAAGAACAATGTTGGCAATGTAATTAACATTGTCTTGAGTGTTTGATATACAGTGGTCATGTACCTTCTCAATCAAAATCAAAACTATGGAATAAATGGAGAAATAAAAGCATACATTTTGAAACATCATGGTTAAATTGCTTTTGTTTTAGTTTAATGCTGCTAAATATGGCCAGCACACTAACCGGTCTAGTTGAAAACATTGTACATGTACGTTTGTAATGAGACAAATTAAGTCTTGTATTGCCTTTGTTTCTCACAGGATGATCGTGAGTTGCCTTGGTGGTCTTGTGTTCCACTCTGTTGGTTATTACCTCATACTTTTGTGGATGAGTATTAGCATTGGCTTTTTTATGGTAAAAATATTGATTGTTACTTATCATTGTTTGTTTACATTGGTCCTGAAAAGCCCCGATGGGGAGTGGCCAATTGCGTATACATTTACATTTACATTTACTCTGTTTTTGTATGAAAATTCCAAATTAAAATGATTTGCTATTGCATATTACAAGTGATGTGCCACTGGTTGACAACTTAGTATGGTACATGTAGTGTATTAGAAAATACTCTTTTGCAGCAGTTACATGTAGGCTGTGGTTGTAGTTTGGCGGGACTTAGGTCTTGCCAATTTCTGTAAACCTACATTGTCAAATAAAGTTGTATGTATATATGTACAATGCATCTATGAAACATAAGTACTCCACAAAAATAGAAATCAGGCTAAGCCATTGTAAGTGTTTTCCCAAGATACATGCAAGATAAAACACATAGTGAAACCAAGCAAGTTTGATCTGGCCAAAATACCAAAACTGCCAGATTAGGAGTTCATTTCACTCAGATTCAGTGTAACAGCTTTCCATGAACAATATTTCCCCAAGTGAATATGATGATGATATAAGAAATCCACCCAGAGGGGGGGGAGTCTTGTAGTCATAAAGATGCAAGATAATTAGCCCACGGTTTTGAAAGCTAGAACTTTCACGTCCCATAATTTGCTTGAGCTCATTTCCCCTCTCATATGTTTGCAGGTGCGCACCCTGAGGTTAATCATTGTACCAGAATCAGCTCCAGATGGCATTGCTAGAGCAAGCAAGCGAAGAATATACCTTCTGTTGTTTATTGCCCTGTTACAGCCCTTGTTTATGTATTTCTTAACAAGTCACTTGAGACCAGTTGCTTCAGAGCCCTTGGATGGTCCCAAAGCTGTCTTGTAACTTTTGATACTGTTGTGGAAAATTTACTTTCTGGAGTTGGTCAACAGATGTAGAAAGAATTTCAAGTATTTTCTTTGTTCTGCAACAAAAGTCAGACGCACCCAACAAAAGTATTCACCTAGTAACTATTTTCATGTAGAGTGTGGTGCTCTGTTTTTCTCGACTGTTGGTCTGTGGAGATGGATTTTCACAGCTTGGGCAGTCCTTACTTGTGAAATTGAAGGGAGAAATGACATTGGAGCAATCTTTAGTTTTGCAGAATCAGGGGCAGTACCTTTAATGTCAAAATGTGTCTTAGAATCTATTTGTTTAGGAAAGAGGTTGTTTAAGGCTGCTGTTGAACGAGCCATAATTATTATAGCTCGTTCCGGTTTTGCGTTAACTCCGCTTTATAGTGGTTAGAAAAAAATGACGAAAGTTACAATCAGAGCGAATTTTGACCAAACGTTAAAACGTTTAACCAATATCAAGCCCGGAAAAGTCGTGGTAGTTACAGGTTTTCCCGCACTAACCACCGGTAGTTACTTTGTAACTTGTCGCTGGCATAACATGTTTTCCCGCGCTTTCTGTTAGCCAGCCACCTGTTGGTAGTGCATGTCTTCCCGCGCTTTCTCTTTTCCAATGCTAGCCGCGCTAGTTATGTGGTTTTCTGCGGTTGCATGTCTGAACAGCGCCTTTACACCAAACATGGACAGTGTTTACTGAGTAACCTGTTGTATTACTCAAGTTTGACAACTTGAATAGATAGAAAAACGATCAAGGCTCCTTTCACGCCTTGATCGTTTTTCCATCTATTCAAAGGTTATCTCATTTTGTACGAAAGTGTCATGTCATATGGTAGTCTTTGAAACCGTATTTGTTTGTTCAGTAATGAGACCGTGATGTTGCCAATGAAAGGCTGTTAGTCTGCCAATTTGAAGTTAACCAAAGATGCTTAAAATACAGTGACTTAGCCCTTTCAATGATATGACAGATAAAAGTAATACTGAGATGCTCCTCAAGTTCTGTAGCAAATATTGTTTGGTCAGAATATTATGAATAAATTATTATGAAATAGTGAAACGGTTGCAGACTATTTGCGCTCGGATAATGGAGGGAAACAAGAAAAATTGAGCACCCAGTTCTTGCAGTCAATGCCGGCAAACTGCCTATAATAAAGATATTTATTATTTCATTATCTGACTGGGTAAATTTATCCTTGCAAGATGTAGTCAAATACTAACTGATATTTCGGGGAGAGATACACATCAAATGAGAATGAAAGCGACAGACATGGTAACTATTACAGCAGCAAAAGCTAAAGTCACTCCGATGATCTCAGCAACTCGCCCCTTCTCAGCTTTTTGTCGTGCCTCGTCTGGTTTAGTTGTTGCAGTTGCGTTGGCCAACTTTTCCTCCTCAATTGTGGGAACTGAAGTCGTAGATCTTAGAAGTCTGTCCTCTGGTTTAGAGCCTAATTGTAAAGACGAAAGTCAACTTAAACTGTAACTGTCATCCTGGCTACGTGTCGAGTTGATTCATGGAGTAATAATTGAGTTGGGGCAGTGAGGATTAGCCTCAGGGAAGCATAGGCGTAGGGGCCGCCCCCGCCTGCAGTTCATCCCCNCCCCCCCGCCCCTTCCCAGTTTCAGAAAGTTTTGAAATTTTTCGGGCAAAACTAATTCGGGCAATAGTACCCAATAGTACTTGGGATAAAACATGGTCCCATTGCCTGATGACTGCATAATGTTATGTGACCTCGAAGTACCAAAGGGAGCGCGCGCTATTGGGGAAAAAAATCCAGCTAGAAAACACCCATGTTGGCTTGTAACAGCTATAGTTAGCTTGCAACAGCTTTAGTTAGCCTGTGTAGGTTCGGGGTTGTTACTGCATGCGCTCGGCCTTACCACATAACACTTCTTCTGAGAGATTTACAAGAATCCTTCCCTGCAAACGTGACGGTGTGGCACATTTCAGATCCTGAATATGTCTTACGTACGGAAATTGGTTGTTTGAGCCGAGAAGCCGCTCACGAAGCCATTTAAGTTTACAGTCGCAGTGAAGTGGGTTTCCTCCGATGGACCTAGACAAACAGTAACATATAGAGGCACTATGGAATGTTCCGAATTCTCAATATTTCTGTTACGGGTAGCCTCTATAATTAAGTACTCTTCCAAAACTCACTGGATGCGCAGGTTAACCACGGATGTACTATTCAGGATATTTGACGAATAAATTGGTGCGAGAGGGTTTTAGTGTGCTGTTCTGGAATCAAAATGCGCCTCGATCGAGCTAAGGAACTTCTTGGGTTTTTGTTCGTAAACGATGTAATTGATCAGACTAGGTTGAGACAGTAACACGGTTTTGACCAACTTTGAACCGAAAGGACTCCCATGTTGAAAACTTGGATATGCTCGTGGGAAAACTTTAATTAGACCCCTAAAGAAGACCAATCTGAGCCTCACCTGAGCAAGCCTGATCGGTATAGCCAACAAACTCGCCCTGAACAGCCAAACAGCATCTTCATTTTACAGCCCTAGGCGAGGCGACAAGCAGTCATATTTTGAAACTCTCACAAGTTTAAAATACCTTGCGATCTAACCTCCCAGTCATTGTTGGTTTTGGGGAGACAGTTCAAATATATCGTTCTGTTCTTTTAAAATGTAGCAAGTTACATAAATAATTTTCAAACAAACTTTTTCTGCACTTACAGGAAGTGAATGTGTCGGAGTTCCAGAATTAATTCTTCTGTTATAGTCGTAATGTTGTTTCGCTCCAAATTGCTGCAAAAATAAATCAGATTGTAAATTGAACAGCCCTGGTAAGCGTATTGAGAAAAGTGCAACAACCCAAAAACACACCATATACTCACACAGATTTAACGTTTTTGTAGCCATCTCCGAATTGGAGACTTGAGATGTTGTTTGTAGAAAGATCACTGGTGACAAAAAATGATTGAAATATTTTCCCGACTGTTTAGAAATATCGGTATCACTGTTCCAAAAGTATCACACGACATAAGCTAACTTACACAGAAAATATGTTCCATTCCTCTTTTAGCTCAGGGATGGTTTGCAGCCCAGCGTTACGGCATTGCAGAAGTTTTCTATTTTGATACAGCCTGCATCCTGCTGGAAAACTTTCTGACTTTTCATTTACTCTAGTAGATGCCTGATTGGCGTCATGCAGTAGAGAAGCACTTTCATTAGTCTGTGTTTGAAAGAGGAAGAAAGCCAATACAAGGATGTTTAGAAGAAACGCTTGAGCCATTTCGTTACACAACGTTGACGTATTTTGAAATGGTATTCTGACGTCAAATTGGACTGGCAACGCGCACGCTTGCATTGAAGCCTGCGCGTATTAGTTTCACGCGCGTGTTTCTTCGGGTGACGTAATTGAGAGTTTATCTCGTGCGCACCCAATTAGCTGGTCGTTAGTTTTTATTACGTCACATCAAAAGTCGGACCAAGACAACAGAAAGATGTGAAAACAAAAAAAAAAGAATGTCCAGGCATCGGATTTTGCTCCGTATAGCGTTGGTTGGAGTTGTGGTTGCTCTTGCGAGCGGAGAGAAGAGCGCCTACCCCGGATGTAAGATACTTCAGTATGGAAAAGAGCTACAGTGCAGGGGGGTTGGACTTAGCAAAATACCCGAGATACCAAAGGAAATTCTGGTAGCGTAAGTAAAAAATATGTATTGGTATCTCCCGGTAACGAACAGAGATTGCGATTACACTTTGTAATAATGATGTAACTTTTTTATGCTTACATGTTCTTTTTCCTCAGAGATTTTGCAGACAACCTTATAACACATATCAGTCAAGAAGATTTGAAACACCTTGAAAAGTTAAAAAAAGTGTAAGTTTCGTATAGTTTATTTGCAACAGTATATTTCAATGAGTTAAGATATTTCTATTTAGAGTTCATAAAATAGACTTACAGTTTCTCATGGTCGGTTCATTAATCTTGTTCATATAACTTCTCAAACGGTTATATTTTTACCTTCGCGGTAGGCCCAACGCGACAGACATTCCAAGTCCCGCGCTCTTCGAAAGTGACCATATCTTGAGCACTAATAAATTGGCAGTTTGTTACAATGTATATGCCCTTATTGTAGTTAAGACAGAGTCTGCAGACGAGCCCGCAAGTGGCCCATCAGGCCGGAGCTTATCCCGGTTTCTGTAGCATGAAGCGACTAGGTATATTTCTACTCCCCCCTGAATGGGATGTGAGTCCATCGCAGGGTTACCCCAAGCATTAAATTCGCTGGTACCCATTTATACACCAGGGTGGAGGTAGGAACTGTGAGAGTAAAGTGTCTTGCCCAAGAACACTTCACAATGCCCCCTGCTAGTGCTAGAGCCCAGACCGCTCGATCCGGAGCCGAGCGCACTAACCATGAGGTCACCGCGCCTTATTGTAGTGTTACCTAAAAAGGAATGCTTATATTAACCAATCAAAGTAGTTGTGCTTAAAAATGCTGGAACCGTGGTCAGCCACCAGTTAATAGTTTGCTTTGACCTTCAATTCTTTTTTGTAGGTATCTGAAAGGCAACCCATTGCACTGTGACTGTAATCTTGAACATCTCAGATTAAAACTTATAAGGAATGATTCACCTGTCATTCAAGATGGAGAGAGTATTCAGTGTTCCACACCACTGCAAATTCACAACAAAGCTCTCAAGTCTTTACCTGACGTTTGTGGTAAGTTAAACGTGAAACGCTTTGGGGTGTCCAGTGTTTGTGCTGTAATTTCGTTTTTGTTGTTATTTAAGGAAACCAATTAAATTTTTAATTTTCAGGTTTAGTTTTAAACGTTTACAGTCAGGTAATAGTGATAGTCAGATCTGATCTCTCTTCCTTTATTACAGATTTAAAAGCTGAAAATAAACCCAGACAACATTGGCCTGGTATCAAGAAAAGAAATGCAAAAGCATGTATGTATGTTTAAAACTGTTCCTTCATGGTAGTGTTGGACCTCCCTATAATTAATTTCTTGAGCTCGTTTATTTTGAATTCTCCAACGCAATGTTTACTTTGTAACTGTCGCTTCTCGCCAGCCTTCCCAAAATAAACTTAATTGGCTTAACGCGATGTAGTTGTTATGCAATAGAGAGAAAATATCATTTTCCCTTGGACCATTATTATTAACGGATAATCAATTTCATATTTGCCGTAATCCACTGTTCGTTTGTTAGTTATAAGAAAGCGAATAAATTACAATATTTAGAGAGGAAACCACATCAGCCTTAACTGGTTTTCATGCGGGTCTTCCATCCTGGTCGAATTGAAATTTGGAGATGTTGGTTTTCGTGGAGGGAGGAAAACCGGAGAACCTAAAGAAAAACCCTCGGAGCAAGGCGAGAACCAACAACAAACTCAACCCACATATGGCACCGGGCCGGAATCGAACTCGGGTCACATTAATTGGTGGCAGGCGAGCACTCTCACCACATCACCATCCCTGCGAGCAAGTATTCCCTCCTTAATTATTGTTATTTGTCTTACCACTACTGCTTTTTTTGCATCAGATGTCAATAAATGCAAACCAAACCCATGTCCTCGTGATGTTAACTGTACACACCTGACTAATGGCTCGTATGTGTGCAACTGCGTGGAAGTTTACCGGTATCATAGCATTACTGATAAATGTGAAGACATCAACGAATGCAAGACTGGTTCTCACACGTGCAATAAAACCACCTCCGAATGTGAAAACCTAACTGGAAGCCACCGCTGCAACTGTTTTAAAGGTTTCAAGAAGTCCAAAAAGAACTGCGTTGGTCAGTATGTTACATTTTCCTAATTTTACCCAAATTTCCAACTTCTAATATCAAAGCTGCGTGTCGCAATACTACATTCGCTATCTATCTTGCCACGAATTTGCGCCTCACGTATCCACGACCTACTTTTGCCTGACCTTATAGCTCAGTCGGCAGGGCAATAGTGTTCTAATCCGGAGGTCGTTGGTTCGAATCCCACCATGTCACTTTTATTTTTTACCACCATTTCTCTTAAAGAGCTAATGTTCACAAGAAAATACTTCAATACTTTTTTCCAGTACTAAAAATTACTTTAGAGTTATACGATTCACTACTTTCCAGTTCAATTGTGTTCAGGACGTTCCATGTCTAATATGGGTTTGCACTGCTGCTAAGGGTGCTTTGGAGCCCAAAATAACATGCACCGTCCCCGACTCTGGTTTTGCATTGGAACTTTTTTTTTTGTTTCTGTAGATGTCGATGAATGCAAAGAAAATTCGAAAATTTGTCGTGATAATAGTACCTGCAAAAACACTGTCGGTTCTTTTGAATGCATTTGTAAGGAGAAAGGATACCGTTACAATCTCGCAACGCGCGTTTGTTACGACATTGATGAGTGTAAGCCAAAGAAAGGCCCCTGTGGAAAGAACATGGTTTGTCAGAATTATCCAGGCACTTACAGCTGTGAATGTAAACCGCACTACAGAAAGGATGGAAATGGCTGTAAAGGTGGGTGCTTTATTTTTATTTGTTGTCAATCAATGGGTTTAGACGACGGAACTCCAGGAACAGGTTATTCAGGTAATATATCAAACACGAGAGACAGTGTTTCATCGGGATATCCAAACACCGAGAGGAGAGTTAAAAATACGACGCGCAGCGGAGTATTTTTGACGAAATTCGAGCCTTGAGCGACATATCACAAATTTTGTAAAATCTGTGAGGCTGCGCTAGTCGAAATAGCATTACAAAGAAGTGCAAAAAATTCTGCAAAGAACGGCCAAAAAGTGTCCAGTTAAGCACTATTTTGTAAATTGTTCTTAAAAGTCTGCAAGCTGTTGTCAAGTGGTGGAATTAGCGTCAAATAGAAGTGCAAATTAAAAAGTGGGAATTTGCCACAACTTGCGCTGGGAAAATTAGTTGAGGAAATCGCAGGTTGCAAATAATGTGGTAGTCTATAGTGTGGAACGAAAATACTGAAATTCATCACATTTTTAACTGAAACGAAAAGTCGTAACGTTTGCAGCTGGAAGTTTTTTATTTTTTGTTGTTGTTAGATATTGATGAGTGTGCGGATAAAAATGCTCAGCTCTGTGAGGGAGACATGAAATGCTTCAACTCTCCGGGATCCTTCAAGTGTAAATGTGATCATGGATTTCTTCCTGATGGTTACAAAACATGCAAAGGTTGGAAGTTTGTAATGATTAAATTAAATTTACTTGATTAAAATAATTCCTTAAAGTGATTAATAGATTAATAAGAAAGATGCAGTCCAATCAATCAATAATTCAATGAATGAATGAATGAATGAATGAATGAATGAATGAATGAATACTTTATTGAACCTCCCCAACGAGGCTTTTCAGGAACAATAATAATTATAAAGTAATAACTTACATAGTTATTTGAATCAATCAATCAATCAATCAATCAATCAATCAATCAATGAGTCAGTCAGTTCATCAGTCGGTCAAGTCAGTCAGTCAATCAGTCAGTCTGTCTGTCAGTTAGTCAGTCAGTCCGGCAGTCGGTCAGTCAGTCAGTCAATCTGTCTGTCTGTCAGTCAGTCAGTCAGTCAGTTAGTTAGTCTGTCAGTCGATCAGTCGGTCGGTCGGTCGGTCAGTCAGTCAGGCGATCAGTCAGTCTGTCTGTCTGTCAGTTAGTCAGTAAGTGCGGCAGTCGGTCAGTCAGTCAGTCAGTCAGACAGTCAGACAGTCGGTCAGTCAGTCAGTCAGTCAGTCTATCAGAGTTGCTTGGTGAGGATAGCACTGAACAGTTTCAACACTGACAAACCTGTGTCCCTGGGATTCTCGATAGAGTCGAACTTCTGGTGAAGGGACGAGAACCGGAGAACCTGAAGAAAAAGCCTTAGTGCAGTAAAAATACTGGAGCTGGGATTTGACCTTGGGTCTGATTGGTCTTGTCAGGGTCCCTTTTTTGCATCCCCCGGGACTAATTATTTGCCTGTGTGTTGACAGTGTAACAAAAATGCTGGTAGCCTTTGACGGATTAATTAAAATATTCCCATTCCCAGGTGAAGTGGTAATTACTGCTAGTCTACATCGATACTCTCTATCATGAAACTACTCCCTCCAACATTTAATTTGCCAGTACCCAGTCATCAACCTGGGTGGAGGGAGAGGCACCACAAGAGTAAAGTATCTTCTTTGTTTAATTAAGAACCGATAAAGGACCCTCTATGGACCGTGAACCCAGACCGCTCGCTCCAGACTCCATCATACTACTGGCAGTAGCCACACATTCTCGTCCCCATAGCCTCTTTCCTTCTCTTAATGGGAGGGGCTTCGGCACAAATAACGAAATCTCCGCCGGCTAAGAGACGCCAAAAAGGCCATTGGAACGAGAATTTAAGGCACCACGTACGTCTCCCAGAATATAATAGCAATGTTCTGTGAATGCTGCTTTTCTTTGCAACAGATCTTGACGAGTGTAAAGTTAGGAGGCACAACTGCTCCAAACAAAGCTACTGTCGCAACACGCCTGGCAGTTTCAAATGCGAGTGTCCAAAAGGGTACAAGGGTAACGGGATCAAGTGCAGTGTAACCAAATGGACGCGCTTCACCACACCCAAGCACCTGCTGAACGACCTCAAAAAAGGTGCCTGGGACACCATGCTTTTGATACTCTCTGCGGGTGTTATTGTTATAGCTCTGCTGGTCATTGTTAGTCTGATGCTGAGGAAACTGTGCAGAAAATGCTGCGGAAAGAAGGAGGGATTTGCATATGAGGGTAAGTGAATCGTATATAGTAGTAAATGGTTTCAACCCAGGAGTATCAGTAGTTCGTTTAGAGTGATCGTCCGGGTGAGGGTAGTTCTGAAAGGAACTGCTGTTGGTGACTGACGTTTCGACAACCTGAGCGGAAGTCATCTTCGGAGTCAAGTGAATACGCGGTGTTTGTCAGTCGATGATGCTATAACTCTGGTCCGTTGAAAGTGATTGGTCAGTTTAGCCATGATGGTATTGGCTGAAAGACTCGTGTAAAGTTTGTCATCAGTCATTGGTCGGTTTCGATCCGNGCCGGTAGTTGTTAACATCTGTTAAGAGGCGTTTGTTCTAAGTTAGTGTACCAGCTTTCCAGAGTCAGTCATTGAAAATAGTTTGTACTGTAGATTAAGCACTGAGCAGAGTTGTGGTTTGTCAGTTGATAATGTACAGCAATGTGATTGTTGGCATCACTATTTCTCGTGGCTCATCGTTTGTGTTGAGTAAGTCTCGCCAATGTCGGAAGCCTGACAGTCGGAGCATTTGATCTTGTAAACTGCTCCCTGTCTGTTGTTAGGTTCGTCCCTGTCTTTAACGTTGATCAGCAAGTGTCGTAAGATAGTTGTAGGTTTGAGGGCTACACGGATGTTGTAGGGCTGTAGGATCCGTGAGATGGTTTCAGAAGTGCCCTTAATGTAAGTTATAGTCACTAGTAACAGGTGTTGCGTTCCTGTTCGCTGCGTCGATAAATGTTTTGTCTAATAAAGTCAGCGTTTTAGTTGTTAAAAAACACATTCAAGATATCTTTTTTCGTCACGTAAGCTGTCCGGTGTGTCACAAACTAGTTGCGCTCGTCCGGTCAAAGTCTTTATAGTCGCGGCTTTGTGTGACGTCAGGTTGTAGGATGATAACGTTAGTGCCGAGGATTCTCGTCGTCTCGCTTGGGGTATAAATTAAGGGATTCTAGTCTCTAACTTCGGGTGTTGATGACGAAACGCCACCATTTTTAGCTTTCAAAGTATCTTTTCGGCTGCACTCGAAGAAATATCATTAAAAGAAACGCTCTCATTTCCATTTTTAGGCTTGGTTTCCGCTGGTTTCTCGATTCTGGTCAGCTTTGCGCGGATCTCTTTCCTGAATATAATGATGCAAGAGACCGCAAACGAAAATGCTACCGGTGTACGTAGGATCTGTAAAAGATCTGATCAGCTAAAAATAGAAACATAACAATGAAGCAAGGCTGATTACCACGTAGAAAGCTTAACGGGACAACGACATAACAGAGTCCAAACTGAAAGTCTAGAATTGCAACCGTGGACAGCTGTTTCGACCTGGTTGAGTCTCGCCAGCACGAAACAGCTGTCCTCGGTTGCAATTCTTGGCTTTCACTTTGGACTCTATCATGTCGTTGTCCCGTTAAGCTTTCTATGTAGTAATCAGCCTTGCTTTATTGTTATGTTTTCTTTCCTGAACAGTGGCTGGTAATAGAGCCTATTCGGTTTTAAGTGGTATCTTTTAGGGGTCAAATAAAGCTTGAGCCACGCCCTGATTGATCTCCTTTAGGGGTTTAATGTAATTCCCCTGAAATAAAATTGTCAATAGATTTTTGTTCAAACTTTGCTCACTGAGTATTTACCATATGAGAACTTTAATGATAAAATAAAAAGGGGGGGGGGGTGCCCATGCTCGTTAAGGAGCAGTGAGGCATTGAAAATGTCCCATTTTAGCATTAATTAATTAATTCCCATTAATGCTTATTACAAGAACGCATTCCAAGTTATTGTATACTCTTTGTGAGCCCGGACTCATGAAAACACGCCTCAAAATACAGTCAATACTTGTGTCGGACACAAATAAACTTTTTAAGTTTAATTTTGACAGACAGCTGAATCCTTGTTAAAATATTGGAACCAAATTGCTTGCCACGGCTATCAACCTGCAAAATAGAAAAGACTACAGTCCAGCTGCTATTTTCCTTATTTATTCAATTGTCAACAATAGAAATCAGACAAGTCTTTTCTCACGCAAAGCTAATGATTAGTTGATTAAAATGACCGGAAAAAAATTTGGGGTGCCCGCGCTCGTCAGTGAGCTATAGCCATTTTTCAACTGACAGAACTCAATGTCAAGGCAAATCCGCCATGTTTTCAATGTGCGCGTGCACGAGCGCGCGCAAATGACGCCATAAATTATGCGCAGTAAGGATGCGCAATACAATGTGAGGAATCACCTTAATCCAAATTTTCCGAGGAGCATCCCCGACCTTGGGAGTCATCCCCGGGGTCAGTTCTACGTGACAAACATTCCTCGTCAGGTGGTAACGTTTGGCACAATATAACGACTGTTAATTATTTATGCGTCTTGAGCGAATCGTCAGATTTCAACAGAGTTTCTGAGTTTTGTTATGAAAAGTTTTATTTTTAGCTCGTACATGAGCACGTTTAAAATCAACCCTTTCCCTACTGATTCCTGTTGCAGATCAAGTGTTCTTTACTGAAGAGATGTATGATCCCGATCAAATGTTCTTTACTGAAGGCGAGCAAATGTTCTACCCGGAGGAAATGGGTTACTACCCTGGAGAGGGAGAGTTATATGCCGAGGGCACAGACTATGTCGAGGGCACAAGTTATGCCGAGGAAACGGATAATCCCGAGGAAATTTATTATGAAGGTGACGTGGCTGACTCGATTCCCATGCAATCCGTGATGGATCCATCTGGCTCTGTACCGCTTACTTATTACGGAGATGACCAATACGAGGAACTTTCTGACGACAACGCCTAAGGTGTTACTTGCTTGAGGATTCTTTTGAAATCGAAATTTACTACTTTGCCCTTCACCATTGAGCTTTATTTGGATGTCCATAGTCACTGGAAACTTGTCTCGCTTTAACTGCAGTTCTTTTCATAGTATAAATAAAATAAACGTCTTGCTTGTCCTTGTGTTTTGGATTGTTAGAAAACATAAGTCCCATTGTGGAAATATTACTTTTCGTTTCGTTTTCCGTCCTCGAGTGCAAGCTCTGCTATTGAGAATTCCTTACTTCTTGTATTAGGCTGATTTAGCAAGAGAACGGCAACGTCACTTGACGACGGCGCGCGCAGAACGAACACCCAAATATGGTCAAATTAGAACAGAATCCAGATTATTCCGCGCGCCCTGCAGTCGTCATCTGACCATATTTGGGTATTCGTACTGCGCGCGCCGTCGTCAAGTGACGTTCCCGTTCTCTTGCTAAATCAGCCTATTACGCGTTTCAGGGCGTTTTCCACGCGCACCCTCTGCCTTTTATCCACTGTTCCTGTGCTTATCCCAGCTTTTATTTCAGCATTCACCAGCTCTGACACCCAATCCGGGGGGGGGGAGACTCCCATATTAAAAGGAGTGGGGTGCTCGTTGTACTTTTAGGGGTTAAAAAGCGGGTTGGGTTCCTCTGTTGGTGCTCGGTCTCAAAAGGTCCACAGCTGGAGGCTTTGTGGAACCTGTTAGGTTATTGAGCATTTTTGCTCCAGTCCGCCCCCCCTTCCCCCGGGATTCTAAAATGCAAGTCCTAGTGACTGATCAAGAAAGGTCTAGTGGAACGGTTAAGGAACTAAAAATGTCGGGTCTGTCTTCAAGTCTAGGTTGGTTATCAGGCTGGGCCGCAAAGTGACGAAGAGTAACAATATTTTGCTGCACCTTTAATAGGATGCTTATCCTTCANCCGCATTTAATTCTGTTGACACCTGTTTGGACAGCTGGAGGGAGTCATTGTTAGAATAGTTTCCTGTTCATGAAAAAAAAAACAAAACAAAAAAAAACAAAAAAAAAACACAATGACAAAGACCAGTGTTCGACCTATCAATAGAAGCAAAAACACTTCCGGGTAGAAAACATTTAATTTCCAGCTCTCTCTTTGACATGGCATTCACATCTATCAAGATCCTTCACATGGAGAATCGAGAGTGACAACATTACATGAGTAATTAGCATTATCAAGGGAACTAGGAAATACTACTTTACCAAAATATTTAGAATGATCTTTTTAGTAACAAACGAATAAGAAACTAATCTGTACAGTCCACAAACTCTTCACAAACAAGAAATCCAAGCTCTCTTCAAGTTTGTGTCTGCATCTGCAGCACCTTAATGCAATAAAATACTGGTGCTGTTTGTAGTGCAACCGTGCACTGTTGTCTAAAATCCATACTGCTACTTCGCTTTATCTTAGGAAGATAAAACCCCTGTGAGTCCCATGATCTGAGCAAGTTCTAAATTCTCATCTTTTTTAATAGAACTCAAACAAAAAACTTAGGAGAATTAAGAGACTTGATCATTTCAAGAGACACCTTGCCTCAAAACCATTTTCTCATAAGTGAAAAGACACTGTGTTCTGTTCAAGTGATAAAACAGCATGGAGCATCTATTCTTGACTCTTACGGAATTGTCAAACAGGAAGGAACTGTTCAGACAACAGACCTCATTCATAATAGCCACCGTTGTTTTCATATTAAATTACATTAAGCTCATGATTACTTCAGGGGCAAATAAGTTCAAATCAACTGGTTTCCTATTACATGTACCTCACATACATTTTACGAAGCCATGCTATGCTTTTAGCATAAATTACTCTTTATTTACATGTGCATTTCTAGAAAACAAATTACTTGTTAACAATATTAAAAATACTTCACAGCAATGATATCAGTATTTCATAACTTGGCTGTCAAAATCATTTTTGCACAAATGTTACACTATTGGAACAAGCTGATTTTCCAAGAACTGTCTTCTGTCCACTGTTTACCTCCTGCTAGACCGCATGGCTAATTTGCATGTTAATTGAAAGAAAACACCACAGTGCCTATTGTGAATAAGGTCTATTCAAAGCTTCATACTAATGGTTGGTTTCTGAATGGTTTGATGAAAACAATCAAGAATTAGGCTGAGTTGTTTGAAAGCCGTATAACACTAACCCAGGATTAACAATAATACACGTATGAATTTTGCTGGTATAAACATGTTTTTCCTGCTTACGTTTTGTGCAGTTTGAGATTACACAAACTCAAAACAGAAGGACAAACAACAAAAACTGACAGACTGACTGAAAAGTTACAAAACTGAAATTGAAATTCTTGTTGATCCTGGGTTAGGTTAATTGGGCTTTGAACAACCCAGACCTGGGCTTAAAATAGGCAGTGAAAAATCTGAAGGTCACTCAATATGTATGAAAATTACTTTAACTCTTTATTTATATTTATTCTTTCGGTCAAAGCAACAAACAATGAAAAATACTAAAAAAAGTCCAAAGAGAATGCAAGTAATGATTTTAACATTTTTTGTTGTCCATATAAAAGGAATGTACAGTAGCAGGCACATAGTACAATGGACCAAATAACAAAAAAAAAAAAATACCATTCTAAATTTCCTGCTAAAACATCAAGCTTGTAACTATTCATGCCTCTCAGAGGTTATCTACATCTCTATAATATCAAAACTTTTTCTTTTCTCATTTAATCCAGACTGGATCAGCGGTCAGGGACATTTTGCAACATGACAAAATGACAGCGTTTTCTTATTGTTCATTTCTCTGACCTTTTCATTATCTCGCTAGTGTGAACCAGGCTACTGTCCGTCCTAACGACAATGACCTACTCTTGTACAAGTACAGAAGCTGTCCAAGGAATGTGACAGTCTCTTTCATTTTTTTTTTTTAGAGCTTTTGGTTGACCCTTTCAGCTGTAAGAATAAGTAATATCTAACTCTGTATCAATACATCACTACTTTAAGACACCCGTGCAATGATCACCCAACATTTGTTCTGTTAACATTACAACTGCACTCTTCCAACTTGATAGGGAGTGGCCTGTGAACAGCATTTATGTACATTAACATCAAAGCTTAAAAGGGTCAAATAGAAGCTCTTTGTGTCTGGAGATGAGAGATTTTTTAAAATTATAGCAAAGCATGCAATTACGGGCTTGTTATTGAAGACATAACATTATCAATCAAGAGAGCTTGCTTCAAGAAGTTTAGTCATCATTTCAATTTGAACTTTTCCTGCCTTTTTCCTAAAGTGAACAAAGATCTATATGCCTTTTGTTGAATTACCTAGCCAACCTTTACACCTAACTTCTCTAGAACTTTAAGACCCTTCTCTTGATATTCCTGCCTTGTCATCCAGAATCCGTCCTTGTCTTTCATAATGTCGGCCAACACAGCACCACCGAGGAATACCATGTGTTTTCTCCTGGGCGGATCTTCGATTCGGATTTTAAATTTCTATGAACAAAAACTGTTTGTGAGAATTACATGTAGGGCTTGAAACTAACTTCTTACACCACTTTCCACTTTGGAAAGTAGATTTCCATCTCAAAATTTAACCTTCCAAAATGGAGTGCAGTATCGTAGCACAGATTCAATTACATGTTACGACATGATTGTATTTATCGTACCAGACCTATTCAGCAGCTCACTTGATACTCCCAATATGACGGATTGGTAAATGCTAGAATGGTGTAAACTTGTCCTTTGGAAGACAGAAAATCATTGTTGGATGGTTATTTTTATCATTTAAGTACTTTTTATATGCACGTTTTTCACTTAAGCCTGTTAAGCCTAAAAGTTACTTTCCAGCATAGCCCAAAATTTACTTCCCAGATTGGGAAAGTATTTTGATTCATTTTTGATTTTTTACTTTCCCAGAAGTAAATTTACTTTCCAATATGGAAGGCAGTTAAGTGTTAGTGTCAAGCTCTGTCAAGTAACAAGTAACCTACATGTATGTTCAGCAGCCACTGATATAGTTGTCTTGCCCACGAAAAAAGTACAGTAACATAACAAAATGTAACCCTAATAGGAGGATGGTACAGAATTTTGTGCCCCCCGCCCCATTTTGGTTCAATAAAATCCTCTGGAGTCCTCCCCAAAATCAGCCAGTGCAGAGGGAAATTCAGCAAGCTGTTACATACCGACAACTTTGTAGTATCTCCCTTCAACACTCTCTCCAGATACAGCTGTTTGATTTCTCTCTCCAGTCTACTTGGTAGGCCAGGATACATGGTGCTACCACCAGACAGTACAATATGCTTGTAAAACTCTGATCTGGTGTCAATGTCGGCTGCCTGAATAGTGTTAAAGAGAAGCTCTGCCACGCCCACTCCTTCAATGTTGATAAGATGGGGTTGGAACAGAGCTTCAGGTGCTTCAAATCGCTCTCCACTCATCTTCACCACTCGTCCATCTGGGAGCTAATGGTTAATAATACAAAAAATTACTTTGTATGTGATAAGAGCTGGAAACAAAACTAGGGTTAAACAAGATCGAGGATTTTAGGAGGAGTTTAACTGCCAAGTTTCCCACACTTTAATGAACTCTTGTGCAGTCTTATTAAAATTTGAAGATCCTCAAATTTTCCTGGGCTTTCCCTTGTTTAACAGGCAGAAAATGTTCTTGTCCTTTAAATTAGTGGCAGCTGGTAACATTAACATTAGAGCCACCAAATGTAGGTCAAGTGAGCCTACTGAAATGTGTACAGGAATACATTTTATACACGGATCTGTACTAAGAGGGCTACAGATAATGGTAAAGTTTGCACATATTATGTCCAAAACGATTTTGTTCTGTTTGCCTTACAAAACTTGTTATACCACTTGGATGAACACGCAACCCATTTAGAACTCCTGTTTCATGAATGAAACTAACCCAGTTATGCAAATTTGCTGCTTTACACCTGAAGTTTGCTATTTATGAGACAAAGTTCCATTTATGTCATGACCATTTGCTGTTGATACAGTCCTGCAGTTTCGAAAGGCTTGCTTATTACATACATGCAACTAGAGGTTTGTGAATAATATTGTACATATCTTTGATACAGAAGTTAATAGTAACACAGATTTATTAAAGAAAAATGAATATCATTATCCATGTTTCTTTAAAATGCACATTGCCAAAAACCTAACATCTAAGCTATATTATTTTGATGCTACCATCAAGTAAAGATGATACAATGTCAACTTCTTGTTCACTTACAGTATACTGTTCTACAAGAACAGTCGTCTCCAAAGCCAGCTTTTGTTCTTGTTCAATGTTGTATCTAAGCAAACAAACAAACCGAATATCAGAAAAAGATGGATGAAACTGCCAACTAATAATATACCACTGCAATTTGTAGTTAAGCTGAGTTAAAGTTATATTATTTTTGCTCAAAAGATTTAAATTGATACTTCAAGAAAAACTTCTTCAAATCCCAACCCAGCATTGATGCTTACTTTTGACCTTGGCAAAGACAGCTTCTTTAAGCTTGTTGCTTATGTATTTGAGTGTGCATGCTACAAAAATTGAAGTAAATTAGATATATAAATGTTGTTTTATCAAGCATAAAAAATTTTTTTTTCAAGAATAAAATAACAATATTGTTGGTGGATCTTATTGTCCTTGACATTTGTCTGCTAGCCAATATATTTGTCATTCAGCTTTCTAAGGAATTTCTGCTCACCCTACATAACAGAGCTTCTCTTTCATCATCCGAACAGTTTCAAAGTCAGCTGTATGATTGAAGGCGTACCCTCTGAGCAAAAGCAGCTGTCAAAGAAGAATACAGACTTATCATTTGAACTTTAAACTTAAATGCCTTATATATGAACATGAATTGTACGTGTATCTACAACCTAAAATAGCATGCATGTAGCCAAGGCTATAAGCAGCACTCCTCATACCTAATTTAATAATCTTTTGGACTTAACAATAGCATTTCCATTCATACTGGTAAATTAGTGGCCAAAATATAGATGTGGAAAAATAAAAGCGTAACCTCAGCCATTTGAACGGATGAATATTTTTTAGAATGAATAGCAGCAAACATTTGAATGGCTGAGTATTTTTCTGAATGGGTAACCCCAGCCATTCAAATGGCCTCCTATTGATCTTGAATGAATGACAAACAGCGAGTGAATGGTTGTTAGCCATTTGAATAGATTTATGTAGTGTGCGTTTTTGCAGGAGAGATCACACATATTTGAAGCAGTTGGTCAGCCAGGCAAAACTACTGATCACTTCATATAGGACAATTTGCATCCAAGAGGTGTACCTTGATGAGGTACTTGGTAATATCTCGTCCAGCTATATCTAATCTTCTTGTAAGATGTGGAAGAGAAAAGCCTTCGTACACTGGACAAATGTGAGTCACTCCATCACCCGAATCTATCACAACGCCAGTCAGCAATCCTGCAAATAACAACAAGAAGTAAATGTTAAAGAAAAGCCTTGCAAATGAGGACAATTTTCAATGATTAATAAAGTATTAGACTATTAAAAACTTACACTGAAAAAGGGAATTAACTGCCACAGAGAATTGATTTTGCAGAGCTGATGTCTTAAACATTGCAAGTCCATTGTCAGAGTAAACAACATTTGTTACAGCAGTTGACACTGCCTACAACCTAGTTAGAAGTCGGTACACCCTAACATGAAAATTGTAGAATTGCAAAAAAAGAAAACAAACAAAGAGGAAACAGGTGAAAGGGTACAGCTGTATATGAACACACACAAAAAAAAACCAAGAGAGAATAATACACAACGTCGACCTTGAAGACGACACATGCAGAGAATGCTACAAGTTACTCATGCATTGTAGAAATAAGAATTTCAGCTGTAACTGCTGTCCTGCTGGAACACTAGACCTCACCTTGAGCATACAGAGTTAAAACAGCCTGGATAGCAATATAAACACCCTCAAATTGGTAGTTTTCAAACATGACCTGTACACAATAACAAGAAATCATATAAGTAAATAACGGAGTAACACTTGCCATCATCACTTTTACTTTTAACCATAACCTCCCGGGGACACTGGGCTAGAAGACACTTGCCATCATTCAGGAGATTAAATGGAAGGTCGAGTAACATACTTTATACCATTGTAGCTAACTAAGATTCTGGTTATTCAAGGGGTTGTCTGCACAACGACAGGAATCTTTTTTAATATCATTTTCAAACTTTGAGATGTTGATTATTTTAATTGCACTTCCAAGCCAGCCATGAGAGTCAGTTGCCAGGTTAAAGGCGGTCTACTACAAACAAACCTAAAGAAAAATGCTGGACTGACTGGGCTTTACTTAAATAGTCAAGATATAAGTGAGAGTCTTGATAACATGCAGAGCAAATAATAAGTATGGATATTGTCTGGAACAAAACATTGTACAGAGTATGATTAAACTAAAAATTTAGCTTACTTTTTTCCCCCATTATCAAATAGGCCTAAAACAATAGACCTCAGTACAAGGCTTTGGGAAATAACTACAGAGTTTGAGGTGTTTATTCCCCAGAACCTTGTGCAGAGGTCTATAGTGTTAGGCTGAATTTTAATATATTGAGATCGGTCTATTGAAATCTCAGCCCCAAAAATTCTGTATAAATTAAAAGTGTATTTCCTGTTACCAAATATGGAAGCAATGCTTATCACATAACTGGGTCATTTAAAAAGTGTGATATTCCACCATTTATAACTACACCACACAATTATAACAAATTAAAAGTAATTGACTAGTTCTAAATACAACATTAACTGAACTTAATAAGCTTAATACACTTAAATATTTGCGACAGCATATTTTTGGCAACAACAAGCACGATAAACTTTATTATTTTTATTTTTTAAATCCTTTTGGAAAAATGGTTTAAATATTTGTACATAGGCCATAGTGTAACCTTCAAAACAATTTAATAATCCAGCTAAATCTCACTTAAAAGGACAATAAATTAAAGTGTCTAAATTTAATAAGACCAAGCTGGGTTTACTAACCTCGATCATTTTCTCTCTGTTCTTCATGGGATTCATGGGCGGTTCAGTGAGTAAAACCTAAATTAAAAGACTCTATGAGAAAACTGAACAAAAATTGTAACTGAAGCAGATTAACAAAACAGCAGATTAACAAAACAACAGTTTAGAAAGTAAGAGTAAAAGTAAGATTAACTTCGATTTCAGCTGTACAACATATTTTAACTCACTTTACAATTTTTGGGATTCACGTTAAGCTTGTTCTCTCCAAACGTGTAGTCCCACACATGTTTCATGTCATCCCAGTTTCGAACAATTCCATTATCCATTGGATAATTCACCTCTAACATGTGTCTCAGTTTCCCGGCTTCATCGCCAACCATCAAATCCTGCAAAACGAGACAGGAAGACCAGCTATGAAGGGTTGGCTGTCTTAGCTTTTAAACACAAACAGAGCTTAGGCCGTGAAGACTAAGGAATTATTATACAAACTGAAGCACTCACCTTTACTTCAATGTCTCCCACTTTCGCTGTTGATCTAATAATCGGTCTACCCACCATCGAAGGGAAGATGTGCGCTGGGAAGTTCGACCCAGCAAATCCACACTTGACAAACTGCAAAACAACAATCGCACAAAATGATTCATTAGATACAACGCATTTCTTGCAATGTGGCAACAAATCGAGCTTACCCCTGTTCCATTATCACAGACGAGTACTTTATTTCCCTTGGAATCCATGGCGGTGCTCTCAGAACCGACCACTCTTGCCAAAAACAAAATGGCCGCCAGTAACTTCCTCAACGCCTTATCACGTGACCAGCTTGGATGTTCGACACCTCCCCCAAGGCCAGCCTCGACACGACACGTGAGGACGCGAGTTTCCAGCGAATTTGAGGAATGAGGGAATCAACCACAGGTCTTTAGGTCTTTAGAATACTTTTAATTTATCAGTAATAAAAGGAGAAAAAAACAATTAAACGGCAACATGATCTAATTACAAGAGCTTGAAAAAAGTCCCATCGTTCCTACACCTCTAATGTACTGTAAAATTCTGGTAAGCCCTACTGTACCGTCCCGGAGATAAACCCTCAAATATTTTGACGCAAACTCCTGCTGAATGAGAAATTTCTCCAAGAAGTACTTGATTTGGACACGCTCATAACGCGAGACTTTGGTACCTTTTGGCCGTTATTTGGGGACCTTTGAAACTTCAGGCTGCTATCATTTCCATCATTGTGGCTGGGGGGGNGAGGGAGGGGGTACTCACAAAAAAATTGTTATTCATGTCGTGACCAAAACTTCAAAACCCTATTTCAGACCTGCCTTATAATACTTAAATTGCTGTAAACATAATTTGTGAAGGGTGTTTGTTGGTTTTCTTTTCGATAATGATGAAAAAGTGGCTTCTTAAAAACATACCCATATCAAGAGTAGAGTGCGAAAACCACACCCCATTAGTGACCAAAATGGCCAAAATCTATACCCTATTTATGACCAAAATAGCTGAAAAACCATACCCTTTGGGGCCGCACATACCTTTATAGTTCATATAAGGGAGTACCCTCCAGGGGTAATGGTTCCCAAGCCTAGGTAATGGCTGGAATCAGCTGTGTTGATGGGCAACACTTCACTCCTACTAAACTTCCTCCACAGTGCCATTTATTTCTTGTTTCTTGTACTTATGGTAATGTTGAAGATTACCATGTGCTCTGACTAAACCACATTCTGCATACAAAACATCGTTTTACTGCCATCACTTTGGCCTTGTGATGAAACTACTGTCCAAATCTAAACCACCGAATGTCCTTTCCCATGCATGCCACTTTTACTCCTCCTCCTAGGTGGGGGGAAGTGCAGGAGGTACTCCCTTTGATGTCACTAATCTCTTACTTGTTTGCATTTTTCCTATTAGTATCTTTCAGGCTGGGGTGTCATACTCAGATTGGTCCCTAAAGGGGTTTAGTTTAAATTTTCCGATGTGCAATTTTGACACTAACAGTAGCCCTCACAATGTTCATTGCAACTTCAATATTGTACAATAGGTCTTTTTATTCCCTGGTAAAATTCAGTTGCCACTCAAGAATTAAGCTACATTGCGTAGCTCCAGAAAGTATGCATACACACACTAGCTATACGGCAATTCCCATGGAGATGGGAGTTTAAAAAGCCAAAGTGTTTTAAGGTAAGCATTGAGAGCTCAACTAGAATTTGCAAAGGAGTGGAGGGGGTGGTGGAAGGGCAGTGGTAACTAAGAAAACCTCGTGTGGAAGGTTTACAGATCTTCTCTTGAACTACACATTGCTCCTAGTAACTAAGGTTTGCTTGGATAGTTTCTAGAGATGACAACTCTTTGGATAGTTTTTTGGCAAAAAAGTTAAAAAAAAAAACAAAGATCATGAGGTACAGCTCAAACCAAGTTAAATAGTTTTATATCTTTAAGTTAATAGTACTATAATCATGCTTTACAAATTGGTCTTAATTATTTACCTGTGGCTAAGAATTGTGTGGCACAATACACCTGTATTTACTTGTCAGTGAATACTGATGCCTCCTGTGACATGCTGCTTGAACAGGCTGCTGTATGCAAAAGCAAGTTGCATGTTACCTAAACATCTAAATATCATGGCTTGTACATAATTTTGCAGAAAACACGAGTGCTCTATTTCAGCAGGACCTTTGTGAGAAAATTCTGCTTGCCTTAGATAACATTTCGGACTTTTTCCCAAAAACGTTACTCACTGGTACTATTTGCTTACTCCAGGTCCACTTGATGATTTATAAGAACTCTGCACCCTCACAAAACTTTGTACAAACCTTGTGAAAAATTGTACCACTGAAAAATCAGTGTTCTTTACATGATGTGTACACAAAATGCTGACATTCCATTTCATTCTCCATTTACATTTTGTTATGGTAATGTGAATATCAGTTTATTAATTTACTTTCTTCTCTGACAAGCAAACTAAAATTGTCCATGTTTATTTGCTGTAAAAAGGCAACACGGCAGAACTAATAAACTACATGAAAATTGGTTCTCTACTGCTTCTGATATGAGAAGACGAACAAGACTTCCTCTTTCAGCAAAATCCTTCTCTTAAGAAGTGACTAACTGGACTGTTTTGATTTAAAGTTTGTTGACAGTTGCAAACACTTTTTTTTTTTTTACTAAAGTTCAGAGCACTGTTTTGGGATTCTGTGGTATAAGTACTCGGTAATAGTGTAACAAAGCTACAAAAACTCATTAACTTACTAACTCTTAGATATTTTTTCAACCTTTCTCATTCAAGAACAACAATAATATTTTAGTCACATTTTTCAACGTAAATTTAGTTTATCAACAAGTTGTCCTTTTCGCTATTTATAGAAAGGGACATTATGGTCGGATTAGGAGCTGTCAACAGGATGAAAGCATGCCATCTGAAATATCAGCTGTTTCCTCAATCCTTGACCACTGCTACTTCAGGCTAAAGAATATGATGAATTTGGTAGATTGTCTGTATCATCATCATCGTCACTGTCATCCTTACTCAGACCACAGTCCCGGTTGGTTGCACACCCTAAGTGAACCAAAGCAAACGCAAAATAGTTATTTTGTATATACTAAATGAATACAGTCAAACCTTATTTTGGTCCCAGCAGAGAGTCCATACATTCACTCTTATTTTAACCTCTTTACAACAGCAACAGCCACTAAAATGTGTCCTGCTTGCCAAAATAACCTCTCAACAATGGCCAGTAAATCAATTGCTGGTGAACGCTGTATATGAAACCCTATTTATCTATTGTAAAAGGCTACCAAACTTGAACTGTACCACGCACTGTTGGTCTCTGTTTCCATTTAGTTTTTGTTTTATTGACATATTTTGACTGTGTCAGGTATTTATATGCCAAAATAAGCATTTTTTTAAGAAAAGAAATGTTGCTTCACTGAAAAAAAGAGACGTCATATTACACTCCTACCTCCCCATATAAATGGTCACCATTCTACAACAGGCACCTTCCTCTGTCCCCAAGGTGGCCATTGTGGAGAGGTTCAGTATAAAACATGTATATGTTTGAAATTTTAATTTGGATGACAAAGTGATTTAGATGTTTATGACTGTGTATTTGGTATTATGAAGTGAAATTGGCTGATTAGCTCTCTTTTTGACAAGTATTGTATTTTCTCAAATAAAATGTCAGATAAATGTCAAATAAATGCCTGTGACAGAAACTGAGACGGTGAAAGACATGATGGCTGCACGCATCACACTTACCACTTTACCTGGTCGTGCCCAAGTCCGGATGAAACCCTCATGACATGCCATGACGATACAATCCTCTCTGAATGACAGTGCTGTTAATCTCTCATTTGCCACTTTCTTGGCAACCAAAGGTTCTAATATGGACACTTCATCCATTCTGGGACACAAAACGGTCCCTGGCGTAACATTTCCAATATTAACTAAGTGCTCCACTGACTTACTTAAAGAATGTACTTGTGTTAAACTCTTCGGCGTGTCAAATGACATTGGTGCAACAGCATTGCCGCTACCGGAGTGATTCACTTCATGTGAAACTGGTCCATTAGAAAGGAAATTTGTGGTGGGTACATGTGAGTTTGAAAGAGTTGCAGTGCGCATACTCCTGCCGCGAGGTCTCTGTGGCTTAAGAACGTCATCACCTAAGTCCCACAACATAAGATTTGTATCCTGTCCAACAGAACCAAATCTATAACATGTCATGTTCTTGTCGTCTTGAGTTACTGAAGTATTACCATGTGATGGTGCTACTCCATTCTGTTCAATTTCATCTTCGTCACTGTCATCCACACGGCCTCCAGCACTAACACTCGTAGTGTAGGGATCAAAAGCAACTACTTGAACCCAAGATTGGTGACCTACACCTCGTGCTATGACTCTCCGCTCGAGAAAAGACCATACTGTCACAAGGTCGTCCTCACCTCCTGTGACGATATACTTACCGTCTGGACTCCAACAAACACAAGTTAAGCCTCCAAAATAACTCTTCATTACACCGCACAGTGTCTGCAAGTCAAAGTCAAACACTCGAAGAAAGCCATCCTGATTTGCTGTTGCAATGTGTTTACAGTCTGGGGAGAAGGAAAACTCATTTATGGAGCCTTCTCCAATAGTCCACTTACAAACTGGGTTCCGCGTAGTCTTTGATTTCCCACTGTGGATTGAATAGCCTGGTCCTTGTTTCATTAAAGCATACTGCGGAGGTCCCATGCCAGGAGGGTGTTCCTTGTTGTATACAAACATGTTTCCACTTTCATGTGCTACGAGAAACAAATTTTCTGATCCCGGGATCCATTTGAGGCACATGACCTTGGTCTTATCCACAAGTCTCTGAAAGAGTGAGAGAAA